TCTTATCAACAAATACAAGTCTTTAAGGTAAAGAAAAAGTAAGACTTTCAAAGATTAAAAATGAGAAATAAAGAAAAATAAGTTAACAATGAATGGCATACATTACCAAGTAAGATAAAACACTGCCAAATGTTAGGTCATAAAAATGCTATATCCCTAATGAATAGAAGCAAGGAAAGAAGAATGGGGTAAACCCAGCTGAAGGCAATCAGCTGAAGGGCTCCTTAAGTATGCTCTCAAGAAGGTTCGAGTCATCTCCCCCAGCCACTAGGCAATCTGTGGACCTATTCCTTTTCCTTTCTCCGTGTGCATGTGTGGGTGCGTGCGTGCATGCGTGCGTGTGGTGGTGGTGGGCATTGAACTAAGGCCTCCCGCATGATAGGCAATTGCTCTACCATTGAGGTTTAGCTTCAACTCTTCTTTTCTTTGAACTATTTACTTGCTTGTTTGGTTACTTAATTATTAGACAGGGTCTCTAACTCAGACTGGTCTCAAACTCTGTATGGCTGAGGATAAACTTGAACTATTGATCCTCTTGCATCCACTTCCTGAGTACTAGGATTACAGGAAAACATCAACACGCCTGTTTTTGTTTGGTGAGGACTGAACCCAGAGTTTCATGCATGCTAGGCAAATACTCTATAAACTGAGTTCTATAACCAGTCCTTAACTTTTTGAGACATGATCTTGCTGGGTTGCGCAGGCTGTCCTGGAACTTGCAGTCCTCCTGCCTGAGTCTCTTGAGTAGTTAGGATTGAAATCCTGAGCTACCAGGCCTGGGTATGAGACAGAATCTTAAGGACCAATTCCTTGGGTTATACTGCAGGGAAACTGATAAAGATTAATGTCCAACATACTTCTGTACACAGTTTAAGTCATAGCTGACCTCCACTCAAAGCAGCAATGCCCTGAAAGGGTTAAATCCAATCAGACAAGAAACCTAGCAAGAAAAATTAACCATTCATGAAGCCCATTTTGGTTTTCTACACTTACATGTAATCAGAAAACACCCTATAGGTAAGATTCATTACCATGATTATAATCATACTGAAACTTCATACACCTCCAAGGTGTATCCAAAGAAAGAACACAATGAGGTTTAATGATGATTATTGAAATCAGAGGTAACTAACCTTTTCTGTAAAAGGTCCGATAATAAGCACTTCAAGCTTAGTTCATACAGTTTCTGTTATAGGTATTCAATTTTGCTACTGAGTATGAAAGTACCCATTAAAAAAATACACAAATGATAAATGTGACTGTGTTCCAATAAAACTTTATTTACAAAAGCTGACATCTGGCTGGATTTGGCATCTGGCCATAGTTTGCCAATTGCTGATTAAAATGATCCTTATATTAATGTATTAATGATGTTGATCAGATGAGCTATTAAACAAGTCTAATAGTATAAAATGTTGTTTCCTGTTTTTTATTTATTTTTATTTTTGATCTTTTTTGAGACAGGGTCTCCCTGTATAAAAGTTTTAATCCTTTATTTAAATGTGAGACAGTTATCAAAGTTTATTGAATTTCACATAGTGTTTTTGACTATGAGAATGGAATTAGAACTTTTTAAAGTTCATTTGGCAGACTCAGTCTATTTATATCTAGTATCTATAGATCATAGATTTTTTTCAGCTTTTCAGCTTACCTTGGTAACGTTGAGTGAAGGAATAAAATAACTAAAGAACTCTTCTCAATTTCCCATCTTCTTACGGTGAGGTATTGATTTTCAACATCCATTGGAAAATAAACAGCATGGAAAAAATATCCCATTGTCTCACACATTCTTTTAAGTTTAGGTGCATACTCCTAAAAATAAATTAAAATATGTAAGAGCATGGTATCTTTAACTGAAGATGTAGAAAGAATCATATTAATTAAAATGTGTGTTTCAGAACAGGTTATGTTAGAACTAGTTCTAACACAAAAATTTTTAAGTAATCACATTTTAAAGAAAATCTTAATGAGCAAAAGGAAATTTCTCTTTAGAATAAAATAATAATAGTTTAACAACATAGTTATTTCTAGCTCAAAAATTAATTCATTTCTTAATCATACAACAGGAAAAAATATTATATTATTTTGGTTACTTTGCTTTGGTATTTCTTATTACTTTAATCACAATTTGTTTTCTTGTTTTCATGAGTGTGTGTGTGTGTGTGTGTGTGTGTGTGTGTGTGTGTGTGTTAAAAATATGTTGCTTTAGGCTGGGGAGGTAGCTCCTGTGATAGAGGGCTTTCATAGCATGTGAGAAAGCCTGGATTAGATTCCTGAAACAAAAAATTTAAAAGACTTCATGAAAAATGTAAAAAGTTGGTCTATGATAAATTATACTACTAAATAATGATGATTATTATGCAAGCAATTAGTTAATATCCTCCAAATGTCCTTGAGAGTAACCTATATCCAACTACGGGATGGAAGTTCCGAACTTTAAAATATTCTATTAGTTTATGTAAGTGCACCAATGCATGCAATGTTCTTGGAGGTCAGAAGAGGGCATGCTGAGACCCAATCTAGGTCTTCCTCAAGAGCAGTCAGTGCTCTGTTTGTACTAATGCCATGAACTTCACTCTTCTCTTGTCTGCAGTTTGTATGCACATGCGCATGCGTGTGTTTTGTTTTGGTTTGGTTTAAGACAGGGTCTCCCTGTAGCCCCAGCTGGCCTGGAACTCACTATGTAGACCAGGCTGGCCTCCATCTCACAGAGCTTCGTCTGCTTCTGCCTCCTGAGTACTGGAATTAAAGGCACATGCCACCATGCCCGACAAGAATCTTCTAAATCTATTTGGTTTCTCTCCCAATTTACTCTGTTATTGAAATGTGCTTGCAATGCAGTCAGATATATATAGATATATGCATATATTATATGCATACATATACACAACACTCATATATACATACACTGTATACATATGTATATAGTATGTGTCTTTGACTGATAGAACCTGGGAATGTCCCAATAACACTTCATGTATAGAAAATGCGCATTTTACATAATTTTTATACCATGAAATAGTCTTATGTTTCCTTTTTCCAATAATTTAAAGTTTTACTTCTGGTCCATACAAAACCAGGCAGCAAGCCAGGACTACAGGCTACAGTTTACTGAGCCCTATCTTCAAATTCAAAACCATGATAAGTACCAAATTTTGTTATCATCTGAAACAGATTCAAGGATAGTGATAGCAGATATAACTAAAACAGGCATGGTCCATGAAGGTCTCAAACACTGCAGAGAACACATAATGAAATATTTAAAAAACCATAAAGTTCCAACTTCTTAATTTCTTATTCATGTCTCAGCTCCTATCCTTCAAAACTTCTTGGAGAAAGTTATAAAACAAAGGCTAGGAACCTAAATGCAATATCTATCATTATATATGTTAATATTGAATGAGATTTTTATCTTAAGAAAAACCCAAGATTCTTTCAGTTTTTTAAAATTTGTATTGCCTGCATGTAGGTAAATGCCCGCAGAGGTCAGAAGAGGCTGTCGGATCCCTTGGGACTGGAGTTACAGACAGTTGTTAGCTGCCATGTGGGTGCTGGGATTCGAACCCGGGTCTTCTGCAAGAACAACCAGTGTTCTTAACCTCTGAGCCATCTTTCCAGCCCCTCTTTCTGTTTTTTAAGATGGTTAATTGTGGGTAGCAAGTTACTTAGTTTAGATATAATAGAATTCTGAATATACTATTAATTTGTATTTTGTTTTGAGATAGGGTCTCACTATGCAGCCCAGGCTGGCATCAAACAAGTAGCAATTCTCTGCCTCTCTGCTTCCTGAGTGCTTGGATTACAGGTGTGTGCCACTACCTCCAGTCTTTAACTCATATTTTCAAGTAATGAATACAGAATTTATAAATATTCTTACCTTAAGGAAAAGCTCCATCTCTGACTGGGTTTCATCTGTGCAGATGAGGTGACATCGGACACTGTTACTCCACAGAGAGTGTGAGAGCAAGGGGGTGACTTGTAACAAGCTAGCCACAGCAATGTCCCAGTCATCTGAAAATAGTTTCCATAAGCTCATGAAAAGGTTGCCAGAAAAAGATGTAACAGACACATAGACTAGAATCTGACCTCACAGGTCAATACTGTGGTGGGACTTGAAGCAGTGAGTATTGCTAATGGTCTTCCCTGGGGTCCAGTGCATTCCCAGGTTCTATACAGTGGTTCCAATTCTACTTCACACGAGCTACTCGGTTATCTTACTACTTGAAGGTAGCTTGCCTTCCTAAGGTGACACATTATTTTACCTTCTTATTCTTATTCTTTGGAGGCAAAAATACAATTTTAACAATAGTGTAAGATGAAAAATAGTTTTATGCTATTTAGTGAGAACGAAAGAGTTCAGAAATATTTGGCGAATTAAAGAGCACTATTTAAAATTATTTTCATTGTACTGCTAGAGAAATAATGATACTGCTTTAGTAACAAGAGTAGAGCTATTTAGGTCTGCAGTGATAACTGAAATTCTGAACAGATCTTAGAGCTTTTGGGGGCACTAGGCCATGTTAAAACCATGAACATGCCCTTTCGTGATCTAACAAACCTTTCTGTATTTTGTTCTATAATGTGATCTAACTTTCAGGGCCATCAAAGAAGCAGAGGAAAAGACCAAAACTCCGTTTCTCAGTTAGCTTAAATTACGTCTCTGCACTTCAACAAAAGCACCTGAGAATTCACAGCACAGTAGCTAGAATCTGGGTGGCCAGGATGGCTGGACTATCCGGTTATCCCAATAAGAACAGTGCAACCTCAGCCTGATCAGGCACAGCCTCTGTGCATGCCGGTTTGCCAAAGGAAGGTGCCCAGAATACAAGCGGCTCTGCTGATGGCAGCTCTCTAGCACAAGATTCTAGAACATAAATTGTCACTAACACCAGGCAAGTGATTGGTAAGTGTCATGTGTTACCCCGGTTGATGTTTGCGAAGGGTCCTTCCACATCTATAGAACTGTGGGCGAACTCCAGGCCCCTGCAGGACTGCTGAAGCTGCATCATGCTGCCTATGGAAGGCTCTCTTCCCAAGGCTCCACTGGCCCAGTACTCACACTGGGTTCCCGCAGCTGTTGGACAAGGGATTGGTGTCTTATGGAAACCAAGTTGCTGAATGTTAAAAAATTCACCACATGCCCCAATCTTATCTGAAGAAATACTGGTAACTGATTGCTGCTTGGTGAAGAAGAGCTGATCATTCTAAAACAAGGGACTCTAGATAGGCTGACTAGACCTCAGTGGGTGGACTTGCACTGGGGAACATCTGGGGACACTGACTTGACATGGGCCTTAACAGGGATGACAGAGTGTATGGCTCCAGTGGGGGGGCTATGGAAGGGTGCTGGTGGGGACGGGGGTATAAAGATGATTACGATTGTTTGAAATATACAAAAAATTCAATAAAAACAAATTAAAAAGATTTACCACATATGTCAAGTAGGATTTCTAATGTTAAAACATGCTAAAAACTGTAAATATAATAAATATGCAAATAATGGTTTTCAAAGTATTTTGCCATTGACTTTTGACTCTGGAGCTTGGGTTAACATACTTCTGGCTATTGTCTCAAATTCGAAGAAAGGAATAAAATGGGAGAAAAGAAAAGAAGAATTTAATAAACAATGGAATTTTAATTAGAGTCAGTTCAGAGCCAACTAGATGGCTTGCCACCAACACTGATGACATGCGTTTAATCCCCAGGATCTACATCATAGAAAGAACCGACTCCATGGGGTTGGAGAGATAGCTCAGTGGTTAAGAACACTAGGTGTTCTTACAGAAGACTCGGGTTCGAATCCCAGCACTCACATGGCAGCTAACAACTGTCCTTAATTCCAGTTCCAGGGGATCCAATGACCTCTTCTGTCCTCCGTGGGCACTGCACTACATGGGTGCACTCACCTACATATAGGCAGTACACTCATACATATAGATTAAAAATAATAAAAAAAAGTTTATAAAAAAAAAAAGAAAGAACCGACTCCCACAGGTTGTTCTCTGACCTGCACACACACATATGCATACACACACACACACACACACACACACACACACACACAGATGCAACACATACTCCCCCACATATATGCACACTAAATAAAGCAATAAACATTTTAAAATAAGAGGCAGTTTTAAAACATCACACACAATTCTGAAAATCCATGTGCAACTGTACATTTGGGTATCAATTAAATCTGAAGGAAGGAACTTTGAAGGCAGATTGCTAACAGGGCACTAATAATTATAGTTCATTAGGATGCAAAGTACATCCTCAGATTCTTAGACTAGTAAAATGTGTGATGATCTCTTAATAAATCCTGTTTTCCCAAGTAACCACATAACATTCTGAACTAACCATAAGTAAACTCCTTCTGTTTCAGGATCAGTCTCGGGCTAGACAGCTTACTATGCATAGCTTTTTAAATCTCAAGTGAGTGACGTTCTCTTAAACATTGGGTTTAAATTAATATAAGAAGAAAGACCTAGAAGGGATATTGGCTTGTTTCTGTGAACTTCCAAGACAATTTCAATAGCCTTCAGACATAAATTTGAACAAGCCAACACTGAAGCAATTACCAAGACTAATGTGACAGCTTGAGGCACTTTCTTAGTTGCTCTTGGCCAGTCACAATCCTGCATCTTTTTCTCAAGTTAGTAATACAAGTCCCAGGATGCTTGTCACATTCCAATGGGAATAAAATGAAAATTACAAATGAACTGCCAGTCACCATATTTTGTTCCAAAATGCATCTGTTTGTAAGAATATAATACAATTGCTTGGAAATGGGAAGGTATTTGCATTTCCCCTTGATATTTAAAGCAATCTTTTCCTTTATCCCATTTTAATAATATTTTCTTGAACATGGGGAATGCTTTCAATTCTGTGATTCCAAGCTTTTCTTAATATTTTTTCATGCTTAAATATAAAACAGCCTTTTAAAAATAGCTCACAAAACTATAGTAGAAACAATCCATGAAATACAGTGTAGGTATTTTAAATGAGTCACAAAGAATGACTGCATCAGTATGTGGAAAGTGTTTTGTAGAGAATATAACTCTAATATTCGCCCTCCCCTCCTTTTTTTAGTAATAGAACCACACTTTAGTTAGACACATGTCTGCCTAGTTATTGATTATCTAGGCTAGGTATGGTTCTGGCCAATGGGATTTCACCAGAGGTGATCTGTATATCTTTCAGGTGTGCCCGTGTCTCTCTGTGATGGATAATCTTTTTGGTCAAAAAAATAGTAGTTTCACATTTATTTTATTCAATTTGTGTGTCTGTGTGTGTGTACATGCACTTGCCACAGTAAGTGTCTGGAGGTCAGAGGACAACTCCAGGAGTCAATTCTTTCCTGCCACCTTGTGGGATCTGGAGATACAAGAGGATGGAACTCAGGTTATCAGGCCTGATGTAAGCACCTCTACCCATGAGAATTACTATGGACTATAAGTTGACAGGGTCTAGAACCACTGAAGGCTTAGGACTCTGGACACGTTGTGAGGGATTATCTAGACTAGGGTAATCAAAGTGGAAAGATGTGCTCTGAATGTGGGCTGCATCATGTCACGGACTGGGGTCCCAGTCTGCATGGAAAGAAGAATCTAGCATTCACCTCTCTCTGCTTCCTGACTGGATGCACTGTGATCAGCTGCCCTATGCTCCTGCCTCCATGAATAGCTCCCCAAACTACACTGGGGTCACAGACCCTGACAAAGTAGACTATCCCTTCAAATTGGAAGGTGAAACAAACCCTTCCTCCTTTAAGTTGCTGCTTGTTGGGTATTTTGTCACATCAAGGAAAGTAATTAGAACATTAGCCTTTATTTCACCTATTTGATAAAAACATAGAAGTGACTGTGGGACCTGGAGCATGTACTTTAGATCAGAAAGAGAGAGAAGCTATGGGCTAGGGCTGATAGAGCAGAATGAAAGGAGGAACCTGAGCCTCTTGATTCATACACTTCAAAGAGAGGAGGTGCTACAAGAGCCAAGAGAAACACAGAAAGTACAGCTCTATTTGTAAGAACAGTCTAAGCAGGACTCTTGTTCATATAGACAAGTAGAAGAATACAGAAAGATTCAAAGTCAGCTCTGCATATCACTACAGCTAAGATAAACACTTGACAGAGTCATGAAATGAATTTACCAGTGACATCTGTACAGTTGTCATCTGAATCAGACTCCCCAGGGTCAAACACTTGGATCCCCTGAGCCTGTAGCCTCTGAAGTTTGCTCTCCAGCTCTCGCTTCGCCCTCAGTAAGTCCTGAATTTCATTTTCTTTGGTCTCCCTAAAAATCTTTAAAAAGGAGAATTTGAATTTTGAAAATTTTCATAATCAAAAAGTTGTGCTATCTGCTTTACAGGGAAAACCCCTTTTATTAATAAAGTCAGTATTCATTTGGTCCTTGGTGTCCTCTTTTGGAACAGGATGAGTACACCAGAACTTTCATAAGGAAACCCACTGGAATTCTGGCAGGGTAGATGTGTGTTTTATATGACATTTAGCAGATCTGTTTCCCTCATGCCAAATACAGTAACGGCCCCTTATAGACAATACCCCCAAACATTTTCAAACGCTTTGCCTCATGTAGAAACACATTCATTTTTCAAATTCTTAAAGTGTTCACTTTTCACATTTTTGTAGCAAATAAAACGTGTCCAACTCAAAAATATGAAACACAGCGCTGGAGAGATGGCTCAGTGGTTAAGAGCACCAGCTGTGCTTGCAGAAGATTGGGGTTCAATTCCCAGCACCCACATGGCAGCTAACAATCGTCTGTAACTCTAGTTCCAGGGGATCCGAAGCCTTCTTCTGACCTCCACAGGCACTGCAAGACCTGGGTGCACCTACCTACATGCAAGCAATACACCCATACATATTAAATAAAAATAAAATATTTCTTAAAATTACAAGAACTTCAA